GTTAATGTAGCTTAATACAAAGCAAAGCACTGAAAATGCTTAGATGGACCCTAATAAGTCCCATAAACACAAAGGTTTGATCCTAGCCTTACTGTTAGTTTTAATTAAACTTACACATGCAAGTTTCCGCAACCCAGTGAGAATGCCCCCAAAATTTATACACAATTTAGCAGGAGCAGACATCAGGTTCACTACAAAGTAGCCCATAACGTCTTGTCCAACCACACCCCCACGGGACACAGCAGTGATTAACATTAAGCTATAAACGAAAGTTTGACTAAATTATAATTATCTAGGGCCGGTAAATTTCGTGCCAGCCACCGCGGCCATACGATTGACCCAAACTAACAGATGTCGGCGTAAAGCGTGTACAATCCAACAACCAAAATAAGGCTAAAACTCAATCATGCTGTAATACGCTATAGCTAACATTAAAAAATGCAACCAAAGTGGCCTTAATACTGACCAAAACACGACAGCTAAGACTCAAACTGGGATTAGATACCCCATTATGCTTTAGCCGTAAACTTAGATAGTTTAATAACGAAACTATTCGCCAGAGAACTACTAGCCAGCGCTTAAAACTCAAAGGACTTGACGGTGTCCTAAGCCCATCTAGAGGAGCCTGTCCTATAACCGATGAACCCCGATACACCCCACCTCTTCTTGCCAATACAGCCTATATACCGCCATCGTCAGCCTACCCCAATAGGGACCAAAAGTAAGCAAAATCATCAACCATAAAAACGTTAGGTCAAGGTGTAGCATATGAAGAGGAAAGTGATGGGCTACATTTTCTAACATAGAAAATTACGGACTATCTTATGAAACCTAAGATATACGAAGGAGGATTTAGCAGTAAATTAAGAATAGAGAGCTTAATTGAAACAGGCAATAGGACGCGTACACACCGCCCGTCACTCTCTTCAACATAAACAAACCAAATAACTAATAAAATAAATAAATAAAGAAGAGAAAAGTCGTAACATGGTAAGTGTACCGGAAGGTGCACTTGGATCATCAAAATGTAGCTTAAACAAAAGCATTTAGCCTACACCTAAAAGACTTCAGCTTACCCTGACCATTTTGAGCCAATATAAGCCCATCCACTAACTAATACAACTATATTAAATTTCTACCAAAACATTCAATTCATCCTAGTATAGGAGATAGAACAGATAAAAAGGCGCATTAATGATAGTACCGCAAGGGAAACCTGAAAGATAAGATTATAAGCACCACAAAGCAAAGATTCAACCTTCTACCTTTTGCATAATGGTTTAGCTAGTCAACTCGGACAAAAAGAACTATGCCCGTCCTCCCGAAATCAAGTGAGCTACTACAAGACAGCAACTAGAGCCAACTCGTCTATGTAGCAAAATAGTGAGAAGATCTTATAGTAGAGGTGAAAAGCCTATCGAACTTGAGGATAGCTGGTTATCCAAAACACGAATATAAGTTCAACTTTAAATTTAACCAAAGTAATCATAAACATAATTTAAATTTAAAAGCTAATCTAAAGGGGGACAACTCTTTAGATCCAGTAAACAAACTTCCATAGAGGATAATGAACCATATACAACTCATAGTTGGCTTAAAAGCAGCCACCAATTAAGAAAGCGTTAAAGCTCAAATACACAATATCATTTTAATCCCTAAAATATAATCAAAATCCCTATCTCTAAATTGGATAATTCTATAAATATATAGAAGCTATAATGCTAAAATTAGTAACAAGAAACATTTCTCCCTGCACAAGCCTACATTAGAAACGGAACAACCACTAACAATTAACAAACTAATAAACATAACTAAACGACTAGAAAGCTATTAACCATATTGTCAACCCAACACAGGAGTGCAACCCAAGGGAAAGATTAAAAGGAATAAAAGGAACTCGGCAAGTACATATAACCCCGCCTGTTTACCAAAAACATCACCTCTAGCATAACAAATATTAGAGGCAACGCCTGCCCAGTGAGTTAAACTTTAACGGCCGCGGTATACTGACCGTGCAAAGGTAGCATAATCACCTGTCCTCTAAATAGGGACTTGTATGAATGGCATCACGAGGGCCTAACTGTCTCCTATTCCCAATCAGTGAAATTGACCTTCCCGTGCAGAGGCGGGAATAATACTACAAGACGAGAAGACCCTGTGGAGCTTAAGATTAATAACTTAACCCAATCTTAATACTACCCTAATGGCATAACAACACTATATACTAAGTTATAATCTTTGGTTGGGGTGACCTCGGAGAACAAAATAACCTCCGAATGACTAAACCCAGATTAACATACCTAAGTATGACAACATCAGTAATTGACCCATATTTTGATCAACGGAACAAGTTACCCCAGGGATAACAGCGCAATCCTATTAAAGAGACCATATCGACAATCAGGGTTTACGACCTCGATGTTGGATCAGGACATCCAAATGGTGCAGCCGCTATTAATGGTTCGTTTGTTCAACGATTAAAGTCCTACGTGATCTGAGTTCAGACCGGAGCAATCCAGGTCGGTTTCTATCTGTATATTCATTACTCCCAGTACGAAAGGACAAGAGAAATAAGGCTAATATTAACAGACAAGCCTCAGAGATAAGGTATGAAACCATCTCAATACCATAACTCAATAACTTTATTCTCTAGAGACAGAGCTATTAAGGTGGCAGAGCAGGTAATTGCATAAAACTTAAACCTTTATAACCAGAGGTTCAACCCCTCTCCTTAATACATGCTTACTATTAATATTCTACTTTACACTTTCCCCATCCTACTAGCAGTTGCTTTCCTAACATTAGTAGAACGGAAAGTCCTAGGTTATATACAACTTCGAAAAGGCCCAAACATCGTCGGACCATATGGCCTACTACAACCAGTAGCAGACGCTGTAAAACTATTTACAAAAGAACCCTCACGGCCTGCAACATCATCAACCCTAATATTCATCACTGCCCCCATCATAGCCCTGACCTTAGCCCTAACAATCTGAGTACCCCTTCCTATACCCCATGCCCTCATTGACTTAAACCTAGGAGTACTATTCATCCTCACCCTATCCGGGCTATCAGTGTATCCAATCTTATGATCTGGATGAGCATCAAACTCAAAATACGCCCTAATCGGAGCCCTACGAGCAGTAGCACAAACAATCTCATACGAAGTCACACTAGCCATAATCCTCCTATCAATCACGCTAATCAATGGATCATATACCCTAAAAAACCTAGCCATTACACAAGAAAACATATGACTACTAGTATCAACATGACCTTTAGCCATAATATGATTCATCTCAACACTAGCCGAAACAAATCGAACCCCATTTGACTTAACTGAGGGAGAATCAGAACTAGTATCAGGTTTCAACGTAGAATACTCAGCCGGCCCATTCGCCATATTTTTCCTAGCTGAATACACTAATATTCTAGCCATAAATGCTATAACCACAATCTTATTCCTAGGTTCACCAATCAACCACAACTTTACCCACATCAACACACTTTCATTTACACTTAAAACACTAATACTAACATTTCTATTCTTATGAATCCGAGCATCTTGCCCCCGATTCCGATATGATCAACTAATACACCTACTATGAAAAAACTTCTTACCCCTAACATTAGCCTTCTGCCTATGATATATCTCCATCCCAATCGCCCTATCATGCATTCCCCCTCAAATTTAAGAAATATGTCTGACAAAAGAATTATCTTGATAGGATAAATAATAGGGGTTTAAATCCCCTTATTTCTAGAACAGCAGGAATCGAACCCACATTAAAGAACTCAAAATTCCCCGTGCTTCCTTTACACCATATTCTAGTAAGGTCAGCTAATCAAGCTATCGGGCCCATACCCCGAAAATGTTGGTACATACCCCTCCCATACTAATGTCCCCATATATACTATTATTAACCTGTACCAGTCTACTACTAGGAACTACACTCACACTAGCAAGCAATCACTGACTTACAGCATGAATGGGACTAGAAATTAATACACTAGCAATAATTCCCCTAATAACATATCCAAACCACTCACGATCCACCGAATCTGCCATCAAATACTTCCTAACACAAGCCACTGCATCAATAATAATAATATTTGCCATCATCCAAAATGCCTGAGCAACAAACCAATGAACCCTAACCCAAATATCCAACAATACAGCCTCAATCCTAATAACACTAACCCTTGCTATCAAACTAGGACTAGCACCCTTCCACTTCTGAGTACCCGAAGTAACACAAGGAATTCCACTCTTATCCGGCATAATCTTATTAACCTGACAAAAAGTAGCCCCTGTATCAATCATATATCAAATCTCACCATCACTAAACATAAAAATCTTAACTACCCTAGCCATTCTATCCACACTAACAGGAGGATGAGGAGGACTAAACCAAACACACCTTCGAAAAATCCTAGCATACTCATCCATTTCTCATATAGGATGAACAATCATCATCATACCCATTAACCCAAACTTAGCCTTACTAAACCTATTTATCTACATTATCATCACAACAACCATCTTCTTAACCCTAAACTTAGCACAAGTAACTAAAATCAAATCACTAGCCAATCTATGAAACAAATCCACCCCAATAACCATAATTATCATAATTACCCTAATATCACTAGGAAGCCTTCCACCACTAACAGGATTTATACCAAAATGACTCATCTTACAAGAACTTGTAAACAATAATAACATCGCAACAGCTACACTAATAGCAATATCAACATTACTTAACCTATTCTTCTATATACGAATCATTTATACATCCACCCTAACAATATTCCCAACAACCAACAACTCAAAATTACAATGAATATATGCACAAACAAAAAAAACCACAATAATTCCACCACTCACAGTCATCTCCTCCATACTTCTACCCCTAACACCACTATGCCTAACTCTATTCCAAATAAGAACTACAAGTCTTTACCTTGCATCATCCAAACGCAAATAGGACACTTTAATTAAGCTAAATTCTTTACAATACAAGCTTCGGTAGCCACTTGACTACTTCCCTGAACTTGCAATTCAACGTAATTTATACTACAAAGCCAACATAAAGGTTTAGGCTCAAACCAGACCAAAGGCCTTCAAAGCCTTAAGCAGGTGTCTAAGCACCTAACCTTTATCACACTCTACTAACCTCACGCCTTTATAGGGAAAAGAAAAGGCGTGAGGCCCCGGGGATCTACATATAGCTTATCCACTAAATTGGAGGGTGTTTATCCCACTAACTCTTAGTTAACAACTAAGCACCAAATATTGGCTTCAACTTAATGGTAAAAAGAGATTATACCTCTGTCTTTGAATTTACAATTCAATGCTTACCTCAGCCATTTTACCTATGTTCATTAATCGCTGACTATTCTCAACCAATCACAAAGATATTGGTACTATATATATACTATTTGGCGCCTGAGCTGGAATAGTAGGTACGGCCCTCAGCCTGTTAATCCGCATGGAACTTGGCCAACCAGGAGCTTTAATTGAAGATGACCAAATCTATAACGTTATTGTAACTGCCCATGCTTTCGTAATAATTTTCTTTATAGTTATACCCATTATAATTGGTGGCTTTGGTAACTGACTAGTACCACTAATAATCGGCGCCCCTGATATAGCATTTCCACGAATAAACAATATAAGCTTCTGACTACTTCCACCATCTTTTCTATTACTACTAGCATCTTCCACAGTAGAAGCTGGTGCAGGAACTGGATGGACAGTATACCCCCCACTAGCCAGCAATCTAGCCCATGCCGGGGCATCAGTAGACTTAGCAATTTTCTCCCTACATCTTGCAGGTATTTCCTCTATCCTAGGTGCTATCAACTTTATCACTACAATCATTAACATAAAACCACCAGCCTTATCTCAATATCAAATCCCATTATTTGTTTGATCAGTAATAATCACAGCAGTACTACTTCTCCTATCTCTTCCAATCTTAGCAGCAGGAATTACTATACTATTGACTGACCGCAACTTAAATACAACTTTTTTTGACCCAACTGGCGGAGGCGATCCTATTTTATACCAACACCTATTCTGATTTTTTGGTCACCCAGAAGTTTACATCTTAATCTTACCTGGGTTTGGCATAATCTCACACATTGTAACCTTCTATTCAGGAAAAAAAGAACCATTCGGCTATATAGGTATAGTCTGAGCAATAATATCCATTGGATTCCTAGGATTTATCGTATGAGCCCATCACATATTTACAGTAGGACTAGATGTAGATACCCGAGCCTACTTCACCTCAGCTACTATAATCATTGCTATTCCCACAGGAATTAAAGTCTTTAGTTGATTAGCCACTCTTCATGGAGGAAATATCAAATGATCACCCGCAATGCTATGAGCCATTGGATTCATCTTCCTTTTTACAATTGGAGGCCTAACAGGAATTGTCTTAGCTAACTCATCATTAGACATCGTTTTACACGACACCTATTATGTAGTAGCTCATTTCCACTATGTATTATCTATAGGCGCTGTATTTGCCATTATAGGCGGGTTTGTTCATTGATTCCCTCTATTCACTGGATATACACTCAATAATACATGAACTAAAATTCACTTCACCGTAATATTTATTGGAGTTAACCTAACATTCTTTCCTCAACACTTCCTAGGTCTTTCTGGAATACCACGACGATACTCAGATTACCCAGATGCCTATACACTATGAAACATTTTATCATCAATAGGTTCTATTATTTCACTCACAGCTGTAATATTAATAATCTTTATTATTTGAGAAGCATTTGCATCTAAACGTGAAGTATCTACTCTAGAACTAACTACCACAAACATTGAATGATTACACGGCTGTCCACCACCTTATCATACATTTGAACAACCAGCATTTATCAAAACTTAACTACAAGAAAGGAAGGAATTGAACCTCCCAAAGTTGATTTCAAGTCAACCCTATAACCTCTATAACTTTCTCATAAGATATTAGTAATAACAATTACATAACCTTGCCATGGTTAAATTATAAGTTTTAATCTTATATATCTTACATGCCTTACCCTATACAACTAGGCTTCCAAGATGCTGCATCCCCTATTATAGAAGAACTAGTATACTTTCATGATCATACATTAATAATCGTATTCCTCATTAGCTCACTAATCTTATATACAATTATACTTATACTAACCACAAAACTTACCCACACAAACACTATTAATGCCCAAGAAGTAGAAACCATATGAACCATTATTCCCGCTGTAATCCTAGTATTTATTGCATTACCATCCTTACGAATTCTATACATAATAGATGAAATCCATAACCCCTACCTAACAGTAAAAGCCATTGGCCACCAATGATATTGAAGCTATGAATATACTGACTATGAAGATCTAACATTTGACTCATATATAATCCCAACCCAAGATCTATCCCCAGGCCAATTTCGACTACTAGAAACAGATAATCGAATAGTACTACCAATAGATCTTCCAATCCGAGTACTAATCTCATCTGAAGATGTACTCCACGCTTGAACCCTTCCATCCTTAGGAGTAAAAGCAGATGCCATCCCAGGCCGATTAAATCAAATTACTCTCACATCCACTCGTCCAGGAGTATTTTATGGACAATGCTCAGAAATTTGTGGTTCAAACCATAGTTTCATACCAATTGTACTTGAAATAACTACACTAAAATATTTCGAAAAATGATCTTCCACAATACTATCATCTTTGAGAAACCATACTAATACTATAAGTATTATAAGGACCCACACTTCCCTCAAAACACATGCCACAACTAAATATATCAATATGACCTCTAACCATTACCCTTACAATATTAACATTTTTTTGCATATACCAACTAAAAATGATTAACCAAACTATAACCTCCATAACCCCAAAAAATGAAAAAAAAATACCAACAAAAACCCAATTACCCTGAAACAAAAAATGAACAAAAATCTATTTACCCAATTCATTACCCCCACAATTATAGACACCACCATATTACCAATAATCATATACTTCCCGTGTCTTATCCTTTCAACCCCAAAACACTTATTTTCTAACCGAATCCAAACACTACAAATTTGATTAATCCGACTAATTACTAAACAAATAATATTACTACATAACAAACAAGGCCAAACCTGAACTCTCATACTAATATCATTGATCCTATTCATTTCATCAACAAACTTACTAGGCCTTCTTCCATATTCCTTCACACCAACTACCCAACTTTCAATAAATATCAGCATGGCCATCCCCTTATGAATAGCTACAGTAATTATAGGATTACGAAATAAACCAAAAACATCTTTAGCCCATTTACTACCACAAGGAACACCAACCCCTCTAATCCCGATACTTATCATCATTGAAACTATTAGCCTATTGATTCAACCACTAGCTCTAGCAGTACGACTAACAGCTAACATTACTGCAGGCCATTTACTCATCCACCTCATTACTTCCGCAACACTAGCTCTCCTATCCATTAACATAATTGCATCAACCATGACATTTATCATTTTCCTTATACTAATAATCCTGGAACTAACCGTAGCCCTTATCCAAGCTTACGTTTTCACCCTCCTAGTAAGCCTATACTTACATAATAACTCCTAATGACTCACCAAACACATGCTTACCACATAGTAAACCCAAGTCCATGACCATTAACAGGAGCCCTATCCGCACTTTTACTTACATCAGGCCTTACTATATGATTTCACTCCAATTCACTGCTGCTACTCATAACAGGCCTCACATGCATACTACTCACAATATATCAATGATGACGTGACATTATCCGAGAAGGAACATTCCAAGGACATCACACCCCTGTAGTACAAAAAAACCTACGATACGGAATAATCCTATTTATCCTATCAGAAGCATTCTTCTTCCTAGGATTTTTCTGAGCTTTCTACCATTCAAGCCTAGCCCCAACCCCTGAAATTGGTAGCTGTTGACCCCCTACAGGAATTCACCCACTCGACCCATTTGAAATTCCTCTACTAAATACATCCATCCTACTAGCATCAGGAGTATCAATCACATGAGCACATCACAGCTTAATAGAAGGCCATCGCAACCACACAATCCAAGCACTATCAATCACAATTCTACTAGGATTATATTTTACTATATTACAAGCTATAGAATATTACGAAGCCTCTTTTACTATATCAGACGGAATTTATGGCTCCACCTTTTTTATATCTACAGGATTTCACGGACTACACGTAATCATTGGCTCAACATTCTTAACCGTATGCCTAATACGACAACTTAAATATCACTTCACAACAACACACCATCTTGGCTTTGAAGCAGCCGCATGATACTGACATTTCGTAGATGTAGTATGACTTTTCCTATATGTATCAATCTATTGATGAGGATCATATTTTTCTAGTATAATTAGTACTACTGATTTCCAATCACTAAGTTCTGGTTAAAACCAGAGAAAAATAATCAACCTCCTAATCACTTTAATCGTTAATTTCATATTATCCACCATCATCATTCTAATTGCTTTCTGACTCCCACAACTCTACCTATACCTAGAAAAATCTAGTCCATACGAATGCGGATTTGATCCACTAGGCTCAGCACGCCTACCATTTTCACTAAAATTTTTCTTAGTAGCAATTACATTTCTGCTATTTGACCTAGAAATTGCCCTACTACTATCACTACCCTGAGCCCTACAACTTCCCCATCCTAATATAACATTAGTCCTATCTTACTGCCTAATCGTACTATTAACAGCTGGACTGGCCTATGAATGATCACAAAAAGGCCTAGAATGAACTGAATAGGTTTTTAATCTAAATAAGATAATTGATTTCGACTCAATAAATCATGGCTTAAACCCATGAATACCTTATGACCTCAATCAACTTAAACCTAATAACAGCCTTTTTACTAGCCCTAGCAGGAGTCCTAATATATCGATCCCACCTAATATCAACTCTACTATGCTTAGAAGGTATAATACTATCACTATATATTATATTATCCCTCCTAATTTCCCACTTCCACATATTCTCCTTATCAATAGCACCACTAATCCTACTAGTAATCTCAGCATGTGAAGCAGCTGGAGGATTAGCATTATTAGTAAAAATATCTAACAACTATGGCAACGACTATGTACAAAACCTAAATCTCCTACAATGCTAAAAATCCTTATACCAACATTCATATTAATCCCACTTACCTGACTATCCAAAAACCTATGACTATGAACCAACCTCACATCATACAGCCTATTAATTGGAACCTTCAGCATTACACTTCTACATCAAGACTCAGACCTAGGCACAAACCATAATAACCTATTTTATACAGACTCATTATCTAGCCCCTTACTAGTTCTATCATGCTGACTACTTCCCCTAATAATAATAGCAAGTCAAAATCACCTAAACAAAGAAAGCATAAACCGAAAAAAAGCTTACCTGACCACACTAATTATTCTACAACTATCACTAATTACAGCTTTATCAGCATCAGAACTCATAATATTCTATATCATATTCGAAACAACCCTTATCCCCACCCTAATTATTATTACACGATGAGGAAACCAAAATGAACGACTAAACGCTGGACTTTACCTTCTATTTTATACCCTAACAGGATCAATTCCCCTCTTAATTGCCCTACTATTCTTATATAACAAACTAGGATCATTACATATTCTAGCCATAACTATTATATCAACCACCCTAAAACCTTCTTACTCTAATTCAATCCTATGATATGCATGTATAACCGCATTCATAGTTAAAATACCTCTATACGGCCTACACCTATGACTGCCAAAAGCACACGTAGAAGCACCAATCGCAGGATCAATAGTACTAGCAGCTATTCTACTAAAATTAGGAGGCTATGGAATTATACGAATAACAGTCTTTACCCAGCCCCTAACCACAAACCTTTACTACCCATTCATTATCCTATCACTATGAGGAATAGTCATAACAAGCTTCATCTGCTTACGCCAAACAGACCTAAAATCTCTAATCGCCTACTCCTCAATCAGCCACATAGCTCTAGTAATCATCGCTACTCTTATACAGTCACCACTAAGCTTCATAGGTGCTACAGCCCTAATAATTGCCCACGGACTGACATCCTCTATATTATTCGGCCTAGCCAACACAAACTACGAACGTATCAACAGCCGAACTATAATCTTAGCTCGAGGACTACAAACTATTCTCCCACTAACATGCACCTGATGAATCTTAGCCACTTTAGCCAATCTAGCTCTCCCACCAACTATCAACTTCTTATGCGAATTACTAGTAATCACCTCATCCTTCTCTTGATCAAACTTTTCCATCATCTTACTGGGTATTAACACTATTATTACAGCACTTTACTCACTTCACATACTAACAACTACACAACGAGGAAAACCTACATACCATACACAAACTATTAAACCAACCTCCACACGAGAACACACCCTAATAATCCTCCACCTAATTCCACTACTAACCATCTCATTAAGTCCTAAATTCATCCTAGGACTCACATACTGCAAATACAGTTTAACAAAAACATTAGACTGTGAATCTAAATACAGGAGTTCAAACCCCCTTATATGCCGAGAAAGATCCAAGAACTGCTAATTCTTAACTCCATACCTAACAAATATGGCTTTCTCACTTTTAAAGGATTATTAGTCATCCACTGGTCTTAGGAACCAAAAACTTTGGTGCAATTCCAAATAAAAGTAATTAACAATATACTCAATACTATAACTCTCATATCTATTACAACCCTAACCACCCCTTTAATCATTAACCTCATTTTCCCACATAAAACCACTAAACTTCCAATATACTACAAAATAGCCGTAAAATATGCTTTCCTCATTAGCCTTCCCCCACTATTATCATTTATCCACACAGGACAAGAATCTATTATTACTAACTGAAAATGATTCTCAATTAATTCATTCAACTTAACTATAAGTTTCAAACTAGACTACTTCTCTATTATTTTTATTCCTATCGCCCTTTACGTAACCTGATCTATCCTAGAATTTTCACAATGATACATAAACTCAGATCCTAATATTCACCAATTCTTTAAATACCTAGTCATATTCCTACTAACCATAATAATCCTAATTACCGCTAACAACCTATTCCAACTGTTCATTGGATGAGAAGGAGTAGGCATTATATCATTCATATTGATCGGATGATGGCACGGCCGATCTGACGCTAACACAGCAGCCTTACAAGCAATCCTCTACAACCGTATCGGAGACATAGGCCTCATACTTACCATAGTATGACTAATAATCAACATCGGCTTATGAGACTTACAACACATTTTTATAACCAAAATAAACACCTTAGCCCTACTAGGACTAGTCATTGCCGCAACAGGAAAATCAGCCCAATTCGGCCTACACCCTTGACTTCCTTCCGCCATAGAAGGACCTACACCAGTATCAGCCCTCCTTCACTCAAGCACTATAGTTGTAGCAGGAGTCTTCCTCCTAATCCGCTTTTACCCTATAATAAAAGACAACAACACTATTCTAACTATCATCCTATGTATAGGAGCTATTACATCACTATTCGCCGCAATCTGTGCTACCACACAAAATGACATCAAAAAAATTGTAGCATTCTCAACATCCAGCCAACTAGGACTAATAATAGTGACTATAGGACTTAACCAACCCCACCGTACATTTCTACATATATGTACCCACGCCTTCTTCAAAGCCACACTATTCCTATGCTCCGGCTCAATCATCCACAACTTAAACAACGAACAAGATATTCGAAAAATAGGAGGCCTATTAAACATCTTACCAATTACTTCATCAGCCCTCATAACAAGCAGCTTAGCCCTCATTGGAACCCCATTCCTAACAGGCTTCTACTCCAAAGATCCCATCATTGAAACAATAAACATATCCTATATTAACTCATGAGCCCTAACAACCACCCTAATCACCACCACTTTAACAGCTATATATAGCCTACGAATAATTTATTTCACACTACTAAATCAACCACGATTTATCCCTCTATTAACAATCAATGAAAACCACCCAAACCTCAAAAACCCAATCCTACGCCTAACCTTAGGAAGTATCTTTACTGGATATTTACTAACAATAAATATTCCTACTACTTACATAAATCCAACAACAATACCACCAATACTAAAAATATCAACCCTCTTAGTAACAATTACAGGATTATTAATTGCTATAGAGTTAAATTCACTAACTAATAAACTAGCGGCTCCACCACTAAAACACGCATACAACTTCTCAATCATACAAGGATATTTCACACACTTACTCCACCGACTACTACCTCTAGCAAGCCTACAAATAAGCCAATACATTGCCACCATATTAATAGATCTAAACTGGTATGAAAAAATTGGACCTAAAAATCAAATAAATATCCACACCACTATATCCTCATATATCTCCTCCACTCAAAAAGGTTTAATCAAAACATACTTCCTATCATTCATCATTTCTATTCCAATAATAATAATCCTAGCTACCTAATCACAACCACGAACAATCTCTAACACTACACAAATAGTTATAAACAAAATTCAACCCAAAAACATTAAAATTCACCCCCCACACCCATACAACAAAGAAACACCACCACAATCCTGACTTACATAAGAATTACCAACAACATCAAATAATCCAATAACAGTAGCAACCTCAACTTTATCCAACACAAAATACCAAATTAACTTAAGCAATAAAACAAACAATAATATACCTAAAGCCACTGTATTACTTACCCAACTCTCAGGATACTCCTCCGTAGATATAGCAGCAGTATAACCAAAAACTACTAACATACCCCCAAAGATAACTAAAAACATAATTAAACCCAAAAAAGTACTTCCCAAACTCACAACAATAGCACACCCCAAGCCACCACTAACTACTAAACTCAAACCACCATATACAGGAGAAGGCTTAGAAGCAAAAGCCACAAAACTAATAACCAACAAGAAAGAGAACAAATAGACTATCATTACTATATCCATCATTTCAGTATGGACTTTAACCATAACCTATGGAATGAAAAACCATTGTTGTATTTCAACTACAAAAACTAATGACCAACCCACGTAAAACATATCTACTCATAAAAATCATCAACAAGACTTTCATTGACCTTCCAACCCCATCCAACATCTCTACCTGATGAAACTTTGGATCCCTACTAGGCATATGCCTAATAATTCAAATCATTACAGGTCTTTTCTTAGCCATACACTACACCCCAGACACCTCAACTGCCTTCTCATCAGTAGCCCACATCTGCCGAGAAGTAAACTATGGCTGACTTATCCGCAACCTACATGCTAACGGAGCATCAGTCTTCTTCATATGCCTTTATCTCCACATCGGCCGAGGAATTTATTATGGCTCATACCTATATAAAAGCACATGAAATATCGGAGTAATTCTACTACTAATAACTATAATAACTGCTTTCATAGGATATGTACTCCCATGAGGACAAATATCATTTTGAGGGGCGACAGTAATTACCAATCTACTATCCGCCATCCCATACATTGGCAGCACGCTAGTAGAATGAATCTGAGGAGGCTTCTCTGTAGACAAAGCTACTTTAACCCAATTCTTTGCCCTACATTTCATCTTACCATTCATCATTACAGCCCTAACCATAGTCCACCTCTTATTCCTCCACGAAACAGGATCAAACAACCCCTTAGGAATTAACTCTAACCCTGATAAAATCCCATTTCACCCTTACTATACCACTAAAGACACGATAGGCCTAATACTATTATTAATTTTACTCACACTAACCCTACTCTCACCTGATACACTAAGTGACCCCAACAACTTTTCCCCTGCAAATCCTCTCAACACACCACAACATATTAAACCAGAATGATGCTTCTTATTTGCATACACAATCCTATGATCCATTCCCAACAAGCTAGGAGGAGTCTTAGCCCTACTAGCATCTATCCTAGTCCTATTTATTATGCCATTCCTCCACACATCCAAACAAAGCAGCCTAATATTCCGACCAATCTCACAAACCCTATTCTGAATCCTAGTAACTAACTTACTTGTACTCACTTGAATTGGAAGCCAACCAGTAGAACAATCCTACACTACCATTGGCCAAGTAGCATCCACCACATATTTCCTACTAATCATTATTCTAATACCCATGGCAGGCTTACTAGAAAACTTCATACTAAAACCCAAATAAAAGTCCAAGTAATTTAACAAAAATATTGGCCTTGTAAGCCAACAATGAAGGTAAACACCATTCCTAGGACACATCAAGAAAAGGACAACACGCCCTACCATCAACACCCAAAGCTGATATTCTTATTAAACTACTTCCTGAAATCAAAACCCAGCAACAATTAATTTTTTTAATAATTTAATTTATATGCTATGTCAGTATTAAATTTTTCATCCATTTTAACCCACCACCCTACCGCCCACAAACCCAATCTTCGCAACACACCTTCACCCAAATAACAACCGACACCTATACTTATGTAATGTTAAATATACCATATTTATTATACATAACATACTACATTTATACTGTATCAAATTTATCACATCCATATAACGTCAAATACATTATGCCTACATAGTATTGAACACATTATACTTATACTATCTGTGTAATACTAAATATTTTACATTTAATTTTACATTATACAGCACTAATACATTATATTCATATAGTACTAAATACATTATATCTATATAGTCCTAAATACATTAAATCTATGCTCATACACATAATATCTATTATTCAATACATTCTATGTATATAGTACATTCATTTATTTACCTCTAGCCATAATAATATACAATATACTTAAACAGTGCTATAGACATAATACTCAGAGAATACTAGATACATTATATTAATGTATCTAAGACATATTATGTATGGTACAAAGATATATATATATATATATGTATATAGTACATTCATTTATTTACCACCAGCATATAAGAATGTATATTAAACTCAAATTATATCCAAAACATTAAATTTAATAGTATTAAAAACTTTAAACCAAATGCATATCTAAGATTACATATAAATCATCTTTTACATAAGACATATTACTCATATTTTACATAATACATTAACTGTTGGTGTACATAGACATATCATCAATGAAGAACGAATCTAAATTCTTATATTACTAGCATATCCAATCCAAGGAAAATACCTTATTCCTCACCTCACGAGAGATCACCATTCCGACCTCCGAAGGCTTG